ATATTTATGTATGTAAATATGTATTTGTATATATATATATTTCCAAATTCCAGCAAAATATCGGATTTTTTTATATATGTAATCTCAATTTAATGGTTCGATGCAACTCACTTTGGCGGTAGGGGGATATGGGTTTAATTATGGGTCTAATAATGTGGGTGCATTTAATATCCGGATGCTTGTTCCCTTTTTCCCTCCTTTATATGTCCTCGTTGAGTCTCCCAGTAGTACTGCGCTTCCTCCTGGTGATGTTGGGTTGATTGTTGACTTATGTTTTTTTTTTTTTTTTGATGATTTAGGTGTTTACTTTTATTTGTTTCGCGCCCGATTTGTGCCGGTTTTAATCATAAGTTATTAAGAAAAGAAAAGATTTAAGTTTATAAGTTTATAAATATGAATATGTAAGTATGTTTTTCCTCACTGTTTTTGTAATGTCACATAAGCACTTGTATTTGTACGTATGTATGTATATAGCTATATACAGTAATATGGCACTGTGCAATTTAATTTCTCCGATATATGTACATATATGGATCTATATCACTTTTAAAAGTTTTATTGGTGGCAATGGACTGTATATTTTTTTATTTTTTGGTGCCGTTCACTGAGGCTACGGAGGACCATGAACACAGGATCACTATGGTCTTTGGAATTTTTCCTGTAGCTTATCACTCTTATCACTTACGTTTTCCGCTTTGTATAAAAAAGACACGGGGAACTTTTCGTTAAAATATAAATTTGAGGAGGTTTATTCAAAAAATCGGGGGCTGTTCGGACACGTCCGCACGGAGGAAAATCTTAACAATTGTGTTGTTTAAAATCAAAAATTTTGCTGACATTTCTTTGAGTCTCAAGTGTGTGTGTGTGTGTATGACATGTGTAGTGTGTGTACAAAGTAAGTGGATAAGTAAAATATCAAGTGTTTTGTTGAATATGTGTAGATGTGGGTGCGTGTTAGGATGTGATGGGGACATCGGTGGGCGCCTGTTGGCGATAGTTTCGCAGGCGGAAGTGCCAGCGTTGCCGTCGCGAAAGGACCCATTTAGCCACATTGCAACATTTGCACTAGGTGACTTTTCGTCCTGAAAAATTGCTATATTAGTATAAAGTATTTTGCTTAGTCGGAGGGCAATATTTTGAGAAATGAGCACGTGAAGCTGTGAAAGGCCTGAAGAAAACAGGCCAACATTATTTCGAAAAAAGAAAACGCCAAAAATTGTATAAAGAAAGTTCCCGCTCCGTCCTTCTTTGGAAAAAACGCAGTGACCCAAATATAAAATGGGATNATTTTAGCAAGTGTTGGCTATTTTTATTTAGTTTATTTAATGTTCATTATTTTTTATGAAAATATAGCTGATTACTCAACAAACACCATATACATAAGTATCAATTTCAGACTTTTTGCAAAAATTTCACCAACTTTTAACTTTTTAATCAGCATATTTGCAAAATGGTATGTATGCAGTTTTGTAGTCCATTAAAATTTAGTATAATATAGTGAAAATTTTAAGTAGCTAGGATTCGCCGTTTAGTTTTGTAATTTTTTTATAACGGCGTTACGAATTTTTTGCATGCAAAGTATGTTCTAAATTTTTTTATATGAAGAAATATGCGGAACACCGTCAACAAAAAATTGTCAATAATCAACGGTAAGTGCCGGCTACCTTAAATTTGCACTTTACTATACTAAAATTTTAAATTAAAAAAAATCAGACTTTTCATAATTTTTGCATAAAATATGAAATTTGGATTTAAATGGTGTCTGTACCTTCATACAAAAAAATAATAAGCTGAAATGTCGCATCCCAGTTCATATTTGGGTCACTGTATATTATTAGAGAAAATTATTTCAATTTTATATATTTAACACAGTCCGACATGAAAAAATTTTCCAAGATAAGGCTAGCAGTTTCTAATAGATTTTAGGTCGCCAAATATGTAAAAATGGAACTTATATGTATGCACGTATATTTAAATTTTAATAAAATACGGCAAATTGCGAAATCGGCTAAAAACGCCTAATTTATTTTTTGCAAAACGGCTAAGAAATCGGCTGCCGGCTAAATCGAATTTTCTCCGGCTGATTGCTATCGCAGCCGGCTAAACCTAGCCGGAAAACGGCTAAAATGGCAACACTGATTGTAATTCATGTTCGCTAACATAGAATGAAAGATAGCGGCTATTCTAATATCAAGAGAATGTTTTGAAGCTGCAGAGAAATGCATTCATGCAGCTGTTAGTACACATATATAGGGATAAAACGATACCATGGAAGTATCGATACCTGTACTTGGAACTAGCATCGAAAGAAAGTATCGATACCTACTAAGTATCGGGCTAAAAGTATCGATACCTACTTATATCGATATTTGTAACTATAAGAATTGGTCGTATAAAAAATACTACCGCATATCTATGAATTTTTGTCAAAATAACTTATGTGACAATTATTTTTGATTTTAGGCGAATTTTTAAGAAGAACTTTAAGTTTTAAAACATGTTTTTTTAGGATGGCCTCCCAAAATACAAGTGCAAAGTCCTATAAGTTATTTTTAAAAAAGTTCACAGAATTTTGTTAACGAAATTTTCATCTTTTTTAAGTATGTATTTTATTTGTTATACATAAATATTTATTTTGTACAAAGAGAAAGCGATTGAGATCAAAAATAATTATTTTATAATTTAATTCATACAAATTAGTTATTTACTAAAAGTTATCTCTATTACAACACTCTTCAGCAGCAGTTTTGCAAAGTACTTAACTATGGTATATTTCTGAAAGAAGTAATCATGTTGACAATTTTTGGAGGACAAAGTTATAGCGTAGTGTAGGCATTCATATCGCTAGCTTACAGTGAAAAATTGCTAAGTCCATTTGTAGAAAATTTACAGAGGAAAAAACTTTTCAAAACATTTCCTTCAAGAATATTGCAGAACATTCCGTTGCAAATTAAAAGATTCCGAATTTTTTGAGAGTTTGCCGATTTTTCTGTGCCTCTCTTGAACTTAGTGAATTTGTCTTTAATTGCATACAAACGGGTAGAAATAAAACAAGCACGTTAGTTAATCCTTTTGGAGACGTTGCGTTTTTAATTCACCTTGCTTCCTATATCCAAATATAAGTTTTCACAAAAAGTGGACTTAGCAACTTTCCACTTTAAGCTAGCGATATGTTATAGAGATGACAATAGGTTTTTCTTTGCAGGACTTTCATTTCATTGGCATTAACAATAGAAATTAGATTAAAAAATAAAAATCCGCGAATAAAATTGTCACTGAATTGGGTTTCGATACAAGTACTTACTTCCGATACCTACTTAGTACTCGGTTCGCAGGTATCGATACCAAAATTACTTGGTATCGGACGAAAAGTATCGAGTATGTACTTGTATTTACTAGTATCGCTTTGTCCCTACACATATACAAACTACGTACATGGCAAAAAAATTGATGAAACTTTATTTATTTTACTGTAAAAAGTCGCAAAAATCCATTCCACGCACAATAAAAAGGGGCAAAAAAGAGATAGTAATATTTCAAAGAGTCACGGTGGAATGTAAAAAATTGTGGATCATATCGCAAGTGTACATATTTGTGCGCTATGAGGAGGGGTTGGGGTGCTTAGGATATTTTAAAAACATGTTCCCGATTTTGCTTCATACAAATATGACAAACAAAGCTTTTTGCATTGAAAGTTTGCTCCTCTTTTCGTAACTATACGAGTACAAGATGTCAGTGACAATTGTTTTAAATCAGGGCCATATCAGTTATAAGTTTTATCGCAAAAACGTTGTTTCATAACAGTTATTAGCACGGCTGGCAAATCTAAGAAAATGCTTCAAAAAGCTTATTTTGCATATATCTGGCAATTTTGTTGGTTTTTACATATATTTGACTTACATACATTTTCGGGGAAAGAACGATAGAAATGCGTGAAACAAGGTGAATTCATGCATATGTTTTTATACTTCTGCTACCACCTTGTATGAATTCGCATTGATACTGCTAGAGATTGAAAAAATCCGAACAAATTTGGCAGAATTATTTAAATATTGTCCAGCTACATCTACGGATGTGAAAACGATTTTTTTTAATTGTTCGCATGCATGTTTTCTTATACTGTAATTCCGGGATTATTGAATAAAAATAAATTTATCTAGCTTTTTATAGCGCTTATTTTCTGTTTTTTTATGGCATATTTTTGCCAGCCTTGGTTATTAGATCAGAATTATTTTTTATTTCGTCGATAAGAGTTATAAACCAACGTTTATTTTTTACGTTGCCTGATAGCTGTTATGACGGAGAAATATTTTTTCCGTTGCCGATAAGAGTTATTTCCCAACGTTTTTAACGTTGCTTAATAGCCGTTATTTTCCTAGATTTATTTTTTACGATGTCTGATAAACGTTGTAAGATAAAGATAATAAGATGATGAAAATAAAAGGGAGATAGTTAAATAACTCTTATCAGACAACGTAAAAATAAACGTTAGGTTATAACTCTTATCCGCGAAACAAAAAATATTTCTCATCTAATAAGTGTTATGAAACAACACTTTCGTTAAATTTCAAAATTCGGCCAACGTTTTCAATTTGTAAAATTCGAGATAACAGTAATTTTTGATCCCCGTTTTAAATAGATTCTTCTCCCATTTGTACCACTGCCAATTTTACTATTACTTCGTTGTGGGTGTTTGAACAACCTTTTAAATTTTGTTACGTAGTGCTATTAAACAAAAAGTTATTCAGATATTTTTTTTAACCGACTTCAAAAAAGGAGGAGGTTATCAATTCATCGGAAAATGTTGTCATGTATGTTACCGGGTAACTTTGGACCACGTGAACCGTTTTCGATAATTCTTTTTTTTTATCGGAAAGATGGTCCCATAGTAATTTGGTTTTGTTCCGATTATTGTGTCATGAAGAAATTAACTGTACTAGTAAATTTTTATATGAGCATTGAAGTCGGTTGTATTTTTTGCTTGGTAAAAATTACTGGATTCATTTAATTCCATTTTAGATATTTTTACTTACGTTTGCGTACGAAAATGAGAAATATAGACACTGCCACAGAAATATTACTGGCGCCAAAATTAAATTCGCTACCGCTACCCACATTATGAGTTTTGACAAACGCTGAGCTAGTTCGACTTGGTTGCTGCGGAAGTTGAAATCATCTCGCAGTTGCCAGTTATTTTGAAATGGTGAGCCAGGTCCTCCTAATGGAATAAAGTTTTTAAGAAAAAAATGTGTACGTACATTTTATAAACATATATATATGTACATATATAAACATACAAGAAATTTAGCTAGACTCTTCAAAGCAACTTTTTAATAAAAAAGTGCATCGATTGTCAGACTCCACGATAACTTACATACACTTGTGGTCAAATAATTATGTTAGTGACATTTTGACCAGTTTTAGCTATTTTTCTTTTCTTAAATATAATTTTTTTTCCATAAAAATCTAACTCGAACTCCTTGTCTGCGATAAGTGGCTTTGGGCTCCGATGATGAAATCCACTCCGTTGCCTTTGACAGGATTTTAACTCTCATTCCAGCAAGTTTGATGTATCAGATCCGCTTTTCAGCATTAAATAAGCGATACTATCCTCTCTCAATAAATGAATTATTAACATAAACACACAAAATCAGCTGATGAATTTAGTTCTGTAACTGAACAGTTTTAGATCTCGACACCTAACAAACTCCTGTCTTTCGTGACTCGGCGCAAAAATTGAAAATAATGGTTCCGAACGTCCCTCGTGCGGATGGGCGGGAAAGGAGGGTAAATCCGTTGGGATTATTATTATTATTAAGGGATGAGATGAATGGCCCTCGTTTAACAGACTATATTTATATATATCGATCTGGTTCAGTGGGTGGTGTATCCTTATTCCCAAGACAGTCGGTTCTAAATGCTAAAGCTTTTCCCACAAAGAAATGTTGTTTAGCGATTCAATCTTTTTAAAATCTGCCAAAGCCATTAAATGTGAATTTATCACTAATTTTTCGGTTTTGCATGCAATCCAAAATACTTCCAGCTTATTTTGCCTTTTTTATTTCTAAATTAACGCTATATCTATATCATATTGTAATTTTGGTCATGATTTCTAACTAATAGTGCTACTGTATAGAAAATATGTAAAATCAAACCGGGTTATTCTGGTTTTTCTTAAGTTTGGGATTTTGGCGTTTTTTTCGGGATTTTATGACTAAAATGGGCGAATGGGATTTTCTGTCGAAAAACGGAATTTTTTGAGTATCATACCAAGCAATAAAATTGAGTACTTGACAAATAAGAAAAAGCTGCCATACTCTGTGGTAAATTAATGCCGGGAATTCTATCAGCGGAACCCCATTCAATTGAAACGAATTTTAATAGCAAGTTTTTGTGTTATACAGAAAGTAATTTCGAAAAAAGTAAAGTGCTAGAAGTTATGAAAACGTGTGGGGAGTTCGAGAAGTTGTGCATTTTTTTATTAGAAAAATTTTCAATCAATGATTCTTTTTTTAAATGTCTTGAGCAGGGCTGCTAACCGGTTTTGAGCCGAACCAGTTTTTGAACCGAACCATCGCTTTTTTGGGCTTTTAACGGAACCACGAACCGAACTGTTTTTTATTTTGAATTGCCAAAACTGAACCGAAAACCACCCCAGAAAATGGTTCGGTTCGGTTCAAAATGAAAATCCACTATGGAATTTTTCTTGTTTTGTAATACACATTCTTGTCTAAAAATGCAACCCGTATGGTAAAACTGCAATGTTTTTGTTTTTTTTGATAGTAACTACGTGGGTTGTAATTTCGCCCCTATAAAGAATGACTGAAATGTTATGGAACAAAATACTTAACAACGCCAGCAAAAAAAATCCAAAAATCAATGCGAATTTCAAAATAATTCAAACTTGCAGTTAACGCATTAAACTAAAATTTAAAGAGCTTTAAACCTGCTTCTTTTATAGTTTGATATAATTTTGTTTAAATTTGTAAATTCTTTCTAATTACCGTTAAAAGTTTTAAAATTTGGATTTATATGGTTGTCGTTATATAATAATAATATCCCAACGGTTTTTACCCTCCATTCCCGCCCATCCGCACGAGGGGCGCAGTCCGCATGACGTACGGAACCAGTATTTTCAATTTTTGCGCCGAGTCACGATAGGCAGGAGATTGTTAAGTGTCGAGATCTAAAACTGTTCAGCTACAGAACTAAATTCATCAGCCGATTTTATGTCTTTATTTTAATGATTCATTTATTGAGAGAGGACAGTATCGATTTCTTAATGCTGAAAAGCGGATCTGATATATCAAACGTGCTGGAATGAGAGTTAAAATCCTGGCATAAGCAACGGAGTGGGTCGTGCAATTCAAAATTAGTTTTACAAGCTTTCAGAAATAGGGGGCAAAAGTGTCTTGATACCCGGGAGGGAACATTAAGGCTAACTTCGCCAAGAAGAAGCGGACTTGAAATTGAGCCTGTTAGTAATTTAACTATAAAAATTGTACCAAGCATTTGCCTGCGGCTGGAAAGTGTAGGAAGATTAATAAGTTTTAATCGGCTCGTATAAGGTGGAAGGTTATATTGAGAATCCCAACGGAAATTTCTTAAAGCAAAAAGTAGGAATTGTTTTTGAATTGACTCTATCTTGTCTGAGTAAATTTGATACCTTGGATTCCAAACCACCGAACCGTATTCCAGAATTGGCCTAACTAATGTTGTAAACAGGGTTTTAGTGATATAAGGGTCACAAAATTCTTTTGACCATCGTTTCACAAATACAAGTACACCTTTAGCCTTGTTGACTGTCATATTAATATGAAGATTAAAATTAAGCTTAGGATTCATTGTGATACCAAGGTCCACAAAATTGTATACCTGTTTCATGTTATGGTTACCTATTGTATAAGAAGTGGGATGAAAAGCTCTTCGCGAGAAGCTCATTACTTAGATGCTTTCCATTTCCAGACAACCGGTCAGGTACGAGCATGATTTTTAATTTCGACCAAACTCAAATACATTGTTTGTTGGTCCAAATAATGAGACACGTATTTTTTCTTTTGGCTCGGAAAAATTTTTCGGCCGAATTAAACGCGATTTTGTTTTTCAGGCAAAAATCGGTTATTCGAATTGACAGTGAGAATTTTTTTTTTAAATGCCTATAACTTTGTCAAAATTTAATAGATTCCAACAATGTTTTTACTTAAACGTCAGTAATTCTTGTCACTTCAAGATAGAATGATATAATTATTGATTTTCATTATTTAAAATTTTTTATTTAACAATAAACAAAAAGTGCAAATATTCTTTTAAATTTAATTTCTCAAAAAGTGTATTTTTTTTTGCTCTAACTTTTTTACCGGGAAAGAGACACTTTGAACTACAATCAACCCAAATCTCTAATAGCGAAGATTTTTTTTTTCTGAGTTATGATGATATACCTGACCGGTTGTCTGGAAATGGAAAGCATCCTTTACATTTCTTAAGATTTAGAGGCATAAGATTTACTTGACACCAGTAAGCCATGCTGTCTAAGTCTGATTGTAGCAAAGACCTTTCTTTAATTGAAACGTACGATTTATAAAGCTTTGCATCATCTGCATACATTAAAATTTTTGTATATCTGTAGAAATATCGTTTATAAAAAGCAAGAACAGAACCGGGCCTAGGTGGCTACCTTGAGGGACTCCTGAAGTAACATCAATGACGTCAGAGATAGTATTTTTAAACATTGCCCTTTGTCATCTATCATAGAGGTATGAAGAGATCCAACGTAGAAAATTAGGTGGAAGACCAAGAAGGTCAAGTTTGTAGATTTATTTGGTTATTATTATTATTATTAATTTGTTCCGGTAGTACAGAGTAAGACTTAGGTCTTTTAATAGTACTTCAACAACATATATTATATTTTACAGTAATTGTTTTGCAATAAAATATCTTAAATCTAATTTTTTAATTTATTTATTATTTTTTAACTTAACAATAAGAACAAATATGACTTAGAAAGTAGAGTAGAAGTAGGGAAAAGTAGAAGAAAGAGTAGAGCAGAAAGTAGGGAAAAGAAAAACTAAAGAAATTTAGTAGAGAAAGATAGAGACAAATTTTGAAGAACTAATACCATGCAATCATACTGTTTTAAAATAATTGTAAATTTTTGTCCTGTAGTTGAATCTGCTTAATCCGGTCTTTACGGTCTCAGGTAACGAATTCCAGGCCCTAACCGCGTTAACGAAAAATAGTCTGGATGATGTTAGGTAGTTGAATTTTGGAATAATGAAGCAGTTGTGTCTTAGTGACCTTACTGGTATTAGCTTCTCAAACAGATAGGCAGGTATTTTGAATACAGTAAGTTTATACATAAATATACAATTCCTTGCGGACAAATAATTCTCAAGACTACAACCTAGGATCTTTGTGTTCCAGGCAGAAATATGCTCATATCTATCAATCCCATATACGTAACGAGTAGCATTATTAAATGCTACTTTGAGTTTATGGCAAGATATTGAATCCAGTTTGCTGTATACTATCTCAGAGTAGGTGATAATTGGCAAAATTAGTTGGAGAACTAGTTTACGTCGAGTTTATTGTGGCGTAAATGTTGCAGAGACTCTCAGCTTACGCAGTATAGCCCATACGCTGCTCACAACCCTATTTATATGATCGGTACAGTTAAGTTTAGAGTTGAGAATAAACCCTAAATCTTTAACCTTATCCGTAAAACTAAGTGAACTGGAACCTATCCACAATTTAGGAATATTATCGATATACACCACACTGTTACATATAGGCAAGACATACGACTTTGACACATTTAAACATAGAGAATTATCACTAGCCCAAACAGAAATAGCAGACAAATCACGGTTTATTTTGAAACATAAATCTTCAGCGAGACCAATACGACTAGACAAGTACAACTGTATGTCATCAGCATACGCATGGACATTAACATACTGACAAACAGAAAAAACATCATGGACAAAGAGACTAAATAACAGTGGACCAAGGACAGAGCCTTGTGGAACACCAGTATACACAAATCTAGATCGGGATATTGATTTGCTTGATTTAACCTTTTGCGTTCTACCCTCAAGGTAGCTGACCATGAGTTTCACCGCACTGTCTTTGAAGCCGAAATAATTTTTAAGCTTCAAACACAGCAAATTGTGATCCACTAAGTCAAATGCCTACGAGAAGTCGAGTAAGCAAAGAAGTGTC